CTAGTGCACATAGGCCGATGGCCCCTGGATAGACCGATGCTGGGCGATGCAGGGGTGTAGCGTGGATGAGGACAGAAGTGTGGATGAAGGTGGAAATGAATCCTGTGGCGAGCGAGGCCACGCGCCTACCGAGTCTCCAAGCCCATGAGCGTTGTATATTTTCCTTTGTCCTTCGAGAGTGGTTTAAAGCACCCTTTCTCCCAAAAATGAGCGGGCTGCGGTACCTGGGAAAACAGCGTTGACAGGCCCTCGTCAAATTGTCAGATGTGCGCAACTAAACGGTGGCGTATGTAACCTTTAGCAGGACACTTATGTAGCCTGCAGCGTCGGATAACACCGATAACGGCCTCACCCGTGCCACGTCACAAAGAGCGTCTAACCGAAATCTGAAAAAATTGTATGAGCCTCTTGCGGTCGTCTTTTAGAGGCTTCGTATGGCACGCGTGTCGTTTTCGGTGTGTCGATTCAAAATAAACGTACTATTCGAAGCCTTTGATGGACGACCAAGAATGTCATTCGCACCAATTTTTCCATATTGTAAAACCTAAATTGCGTGAAATACATGCAGTCATGGATTTGCTACGTATACACACACACACACACACACACACACACACACACACACACACACACACACACACACACACACACACACACACACACACACACACACACACACACACCACACACACACACACCACACACACACACACACACACACACACACACACACACACACACACACACACACACACACACATGTATATATATATATATATATATATATATATATATTAAAACTATATATATATATATATATCTCTCTCTCTCTCTCTCTCTCTCTCTCTCTCTCTCTCTCTCTCTCTCTCTCTCTCTCTCTCTCTCTCTCTCTATATATATATATATATATATATAATAATATATATCTATGTATATATATCTCTCTCTCTCCTCTCTCTCTCTCTCTCTCTCTCTCTCTCTCTCTCTCTCTCCTCTCCTCTCTCCTCTCTCTCTCTCTCTCTCGCTCTCTCTCTCCTCTCTCGTCTCCTCTCCTCTCGTCTCTCGTCTCTCTCGTCTCTCTCTCTCTCATTTCCCTCTCTTCTCCTCTCTCATCTCTTCCCTCTCTCTTGCTCCTCTCTTCTCGTCCTCCTCTCTCTCTCTCTCTCTCTTCTCCTCCTCATCTCTCTCTCTTCTCTCTCTCTTCACTCTCTCTCGCTCTCTCCTCCTCTCTCCTCTCTCTCTATCTCTCTCTCTCTCTCTCTCTCTCTCTCTCCTCTCTCTCTCTCTCTCTCTCTCTCTACTATCTATCGACTCTATCTATATATATATATATATATTATATATATATATATATATACAATATATATACATAATAACGAAAGTTGTCATTCCTGCAGCACTGTCATTTCTTTTTGTAATTCATAGCACACACACTTCTGTCACGCTCTTAAGAAACATCTGAAGGTCTCGTTTTATGTATTGCTAATCGCCGGTAACGATACTCACACAATTCAGCATATCATCCATCGGCCCATACAGACGTCAGTTTTCAATAACGACAGAAAGAGAAATATATTAGAAGCATAACAAAAACCTTTTAACAAAGGCTTTTTCACGGGTAGTTCAAAAAATCCTTAAATGTTTGTTTTTAAATTTATCAAATCCAAATTCTTAGCTTAAAAATTCTTGAAACATTCTTAATAAATTGCACGTGACACTTGCGGGGAACCTATTACGGCTCGCCTCTGTGCGGAACAATAAGGGCCTTGCTGAATTGTGCGAACGTTCTTAGGTGCGATTAACAACACCTACGACGAGACCTAACACTGCTTTAAGGTGTAGTCTAGCTTGCCGGTGAATGTGCTTGCGTAATAATGAGTACGTCCTGTCGATGATGCCATGTGGCATGATGCCGAAACATTGACACCAATAATATAACCGACAGTAATCGCTGCCTACGCCATCAATTTTATGCTAAAATCAAGAAGCGTAACAGCTGGAGAATTAACTAACCTTTTAGTGTATTTTTAGGTGACTTTGGTCGTCCTTCATCGCCCAGCCCCACATATTGATGTAGCGAAACTATGCCTCTGAGTCAAGGTCCCGACAGAGGTCTGCATTGCATCCCTGAGTTAAGATCACCTGTGAATTCAAGAGAATTGCGTCATGACTTGACTGCATTTTGAACGTATGTAGTTTGATTGCTCTGTCGTAAATATACAATACATCATCATGTATATTGTGACAAATATATAATCGTGGAAATTGTAGATGGCAACGGACTTGTGGTTGCCTAGACCGGATTTCGGCTGATGTTATCGGTGACTTTTTATCGTGGCCGGGTGTAATCTACGCCCGGATGGGAATGACATTCACTCTCTTCGCCGGACAACGCTCTTTCTTCTTAAACCTGATCTTGAATTACGTTTTGCGGGTGCCATTTTCGATTGCCGAATTTCTTGACACGCGCTGGGGTGGGGCTCAAACTGACCCCCCCCCCGGAGATTTTTCCAGAATGGTTTCCGAACGGCGCAACGTAGCCGCGCCAAATTTTGCAAAGATGTAGATAATTTAACAGCGAAGCGCTTAGACTCACAAATTTAGATTTACCTTGTAAGATCGCTGACTTATGGCAGGTCAAAATCAGGTCAAGGTTTCAGCGAGGTCAATTTCTAGGGAATCGCTCAATCTGATCCAACAACGAAGTGTTAGAAGAAGCCAAAAACATAGCTGGGTTTCTTTCTTAGGCAACACAACATTTGAATGAACAAGCAACATTGACCTAGGGTCAGGTATGAAGGTCAGACTAAGGTCAAATCCAATCTATTTTGTTACTCTGGGGCTTGCTGTACGGGCCCCAGAGTAAAAAACCGTAATTTCTGGTTATAATTTCGGATTTATTGATAACAGAAACCGCATTATACATCCTCCATGGGCTTCTTCGACGTCAGAATAGACCACTGACCTAAAATAACCTGGGTCAGCATCTTTGTTTTCAGGAGCTCACTGAACAGCGTAATATTTGGCGCTTATTCAAATGCAAAACTCAAAGCCGTCCCGTATGATTTTGGTCACCATGACCCTCAAAAGGTCAAACAAGATCACTGACCTTAAATGAGCATGGGGAATTTTGCTTGAAACATTTATCTAGGTTCTAGGGGCTCTTTGGAGACCAACCTGGAAGTTGACCTTGTTTGACCTTATCTGACCCGAACATCACGACCTAAGAGCCTCAAACTTTGGCCGAAGTGTGTTCACGTACAGGTCAACACGCACTGTGAATTTGGGATCTCTAGGTCTCTTAGTTCCTGGGAACTCAGCGGGGCAAAATCAACCCCCCCACACGAGCGATTTAACCGGCCACCCGGACGCGTGTTAAGATTGAGACCCGCTCGTTGCATCCCTGGGAATGCCTTCCCTGGATGCAGGTCGTACCCTCGGCATCGTTCTAACCGCAATCATCAAACCATGCGAATGTGTTACCATACCATTTCGGAGATACGAGTGCAGTAAACCATGTTTGATGCCATTATTTAGTTTGCCGATTCGTTACGCGATTGGAGTCAAAGACGTAAAAGGTGTGGGATGGAGAAACTAAATGTTTCGGAGGCGGGACGTCGACAACTCTGAGATTAGCAATGTGCTCGAAATTGCGTG